TGTATATCAGAAATCTTATCCCCATAACTATAGGATACATTATCCTCACACCATAAACAAGTAATTTTATCAATAGCTTTCTAGAATTAGTATCTAGATAAACATGAAGATAATTCTCAGAACTAAATAGGTCTGTCCAAAACCTTCAGAAGAACAGAATCTCTTTAGTCTGCTCAATAGAGTAGGTACCCAAGGCCATTGTGCTTTCTAGGAGTTGTCTCTAAAACATCTTTAGATATAGTTTACGGTTGTACATATGCAGAAAGAGGAAATGAACTCTCGTTTAGTTTCCTGTGTCAGTGTTTGCAGATTACCAGCATGTTTTTAAAACACTGCCCTTCAAACATCTCTTCAAATAGAGATATTTCAAACACCAGCAAGAACAAAACATTACGACTCAAGTAACTGCTTTTAACCTATTACTTCATATTACCAGCAATTTCACTGGGGCATCAAAATTTCAACTAGTCCTACAATACATAAAAAAAAAAAAATCACGAAGTTTTCTGTGAGTAGAGAGTAGACAATCTCTCAGCATATTGTTCTTTAGTTCAGTCTTCCTTTGAGGCATTGTTCTACTAATAGTCCTTCCAGATCGTCCACTGATGACTGTAAAGCACTCATCTCTCAGACACAGGCCTTGAAGAAGCAGTTAAGACAAACTCAATTTTAAATTTAAGCAAACAGTCCATGATAAGACAAAGCCTGCAAATCAATTCTGTATTGTAAACACAAGTGCGAAGGCCATTAGAGCCATCACTAACATGCAACTTACTAAGAGGACCACCTGACTGATCTGCCAGTGAAGTAATCTTGTCACAGACAAACGAGTCAGTCACTCGCACTACCTGTAACATAACATTGTCTGCGGAGCACTTGTTTGCTTGTTTTACACCCTTAAGCACTACCAAACACTTGTGGTAAACTTGCAGAACAGAAGACCACAATGTTTTGTATGGAAGAAATATACTAGACAATGAGTTTTCTTCAAAATTAGTTTAAGACCTTGCATTCAAAAGCAAAGTTTAGAAAAATGTGAAAATGCATCCGTAGTTACCATGGTGCTAGAAGAGTCTCACAGAAGAACTATGTAAGTTTGAAAATACATGCAATGTAAGTTGTGATTAAATGTGACACCCTCACAGGCTAACTCTAGACATCTCCTACAACAAAACCTTAGGATACACTAGGTACAGCATTTTAAACAAAGGCAAGGAAGTCTTAGGCCAGCAAAAGGATACTAAAGATTAAAACAATTTAAGCAGTACTCAAAGATTAAAAAACAAGACCCTTTCCTGTAAACACTGGGGAGGTGCTAAAGAGTAATCTACTAGGCAGAGAAGTTCTAAAGAACAATCTACGTACCTCAATACCAGTACTACATGTGGGTAATCTGGAAGACCAAAGACCCTTTGCAAGAACCTCTTGATTGAACAGGAATGCAGGTGCAATGTTTGATTTAATATGCATGATAATTCTGAGAAAGGTGTGTAGGAAAAGGCAATAGCAGATAACAAGTTCTAAACTACACCACACACACACACACACACACACACACACACACACACAAAGAGTGATAGCCACAATTCAGTGGCCAGGTGCTCGATCATTTGTTCAAGCTGTGACTTCTCAGTTCCCATACAGGTGGGAACTTCGTAGAAATTGCATGAATATTCATACGGTAAACACATATGAGGGTGATTTAGCTCCTGTGTGTGTACTTTTTGGAGAAATCCTCAAGCACCCAGTAATGTAATAAAGCAGTGTTGGCTTTCTAAACTATCATTTGGTTTAGAGAGTTTTCTTTGTTATGATTTTCAAAAACAAGGCCATTAACAGAAGTGAAAAAATTGTAAAAAACGCTGGAACACTACATCATTCTGAAAATCTATTATTCAGGAATGATGAACTAAGGATGGAAAACATTCTAGGAAGAGCTATTAAGATCTTCAGAGACACAGGTTTTAATCATATGATTAATTTAGCAAATAGTGTGTGCAATAACTTCTATACAGTAAAACATGAAGGAAAGTAATTTGTACACATTAAAAACCATGCATACTCATACATAAGTTTCAAGGAAAATCTGTTCATTATTAGTAGACAATTCAGCAATTCTGTTTACTATCATACCAACAGAATGGAAAAATAAAATTTTAAAAGGCATCTTGCTATGTATGCTTTCAGGTGCTAATCCAGGAACCTACATCATATCAAATGAATAATAACATAGCAATTAAGGTTTTGGCCCAAGCTGTATTTGGGCATCTTTTCACAAGAACAGCAAACAAATCCATTTTCCCTACCATACAGTGGTGTGCAAAAAACTACTCCCAGCAAGGTAATTCTAATTAACCCACAGTTTACTTCAATGTTTTATCTCACTAATATGAAAACAAGAGTAGCATCTCTTACTGTATGACACCTAATTAAGCAGGCAAAAGTTTGTTAAGAGCCTGTAAGATATAATAATTTATTTGCAAGTTAATAGAAACAGCTCCAGAGGGCTGTAGCCAAATCCATAATAAAGCCTACATTAAATGTCTATTTAATTGCGGTAAAAGAGGCACACAGTTTAAAAGCAAAAGAAAAGAGAGAAAAAGGGACATTTACGCTGGAAAAGATGTCATCTACTTAAAAAGAAGTACAAGTAAAGATCAAAAACTAGTTATGTCTTTTAAAATAAGTTATAGCACATTGTTAATCTCACATTTATAGATTTTGTTTTTTTATTTCTTTGCTTTTTTATTTCTTCACTGTACACAAATTTTTCTGCACATTCTAAGCTAGGGTTCTCAAGTAGAAATAAGTCATTTTTTTCCCCTCAAATACACATAGTGTATTTGAGCATAGTGTATTTGAACACAAAAGTGTGCTAAACTACTTAGTTATAAACACAACACTACTCAGCTTGTAGCATGCAGATTTTTCTGGATATATCAAAAGTGTCTAGTCAAAGACACCTGAGAACTAACTGAAATAAAGATTGTTACAGAAGTAGTTGTCTTCTGGAGTTCTGTATGATTTTGATGAGGCAAAAAAGTACATTTAAGAACTAAAAAGTATAAAGGAGAGATTTTTCTCTATCATAACCCTTTCAAAACAGCAAGTTTGAAATGAAATATCTAGCAAAAAAAAAAATATATATTTGTAAGGTGTAAAAGTTTAAATAAGATTCCTGGAATGCTTTCCTATGAGTGCGAGCAAAGTCACACACACTTCCCCAAGAGTAGAATATAATGTCTGTAGGAGAATAAGTATTACAAAATCACTCTATAATTGGCTTAATGGATGTGAATATAAGGAAGCCGAAAAGTTTATCAAAAACCATGAGAAATAAAAATATTGCTGTTCTAGCATAAATTTAAAAGAACAGTAAAGATGACACAATGGACTTTCAGTCAGGCTTTCATCCTTCTCATACTTAGGAAACTTACTTCCAGGTCATTTGCATTTAGGGAGTAGGGTTTTCAACACACTTAAGTGTTGTTATCTCTTATAGAGAAAGAATGAAAAGGTTTGATACACCAGTCAAAGCCATTGTAGGACAAGACTACTGAGATATTCAGAAATAAGAAAAATACTGTTTTTTTTTCAATGGCCTTCAGAAACCTTAGTTTTGTTTGCACACACAACCTCAAATGCAAGCGCACCACTGTGGCAGATAAGATTACTTGAAAAGTTATAGTCACTTAAATTTGTACATCAGTCAGTAGAGGTAAGGGGCTTGAACTCGGTTTTCATGTATGGTCTAACTTAGCAGCATGCTGACTGAGTGGGTAAATTCAACAGATCATTACAATTGCCTCAAATATACCACGAAACACATCAAGTCATTATAAAAAAATTGCAAATGCTTGTGTATTATCCTTTGACAGTGTAGTAAGTGGTAAGACAAAGCACTCACAGATCAAAAACAAGACATCCACTTGTATGGACCCATTGGTGTTGTTCAATAATTAAAACTGAGAAGTATGATCTCACTGAAAGAAAAATGCTTTAAAAAAAAAAAAAAAAAAAAAAAAAAAAAGAAAGAAATCCAGATCAAGACACCTGGCAATGGAACAGATAAAGGATTTGAAGTGAGTACATCAAAGACTAGGGCTGCCTGTCGTCCTAAACCTTTCTGGAGATAATATAAAATATCTTTTAGAAATGGTTGGATAATTTATTAAGACAGATGCTTCAGCTGATTCAGATTATGTTTTTATGGTGTGTACTGATGATTCTATGCATAAAAAATTACATGACAATTTTTTCAACTATTTATTTCTTATTTCCCTGTCTTTCTATAAACCTGAAGTGATTAGGAAAACATAGTTTTAATGTCTCATATTAGCTTTGCTGTATCAGTTGTATATGTACTTCTCTGTGGATTTCCTGTAGTTTGAACACAATGAAAATTCCACGTCTCTATGCTATAGAACACAGCAATCCCTTACAAAGTGTTTCAAAGCACTGCAGCATTTGATTTCAGAACAGCATGCAAAGAACAGAAACAGAGTACTGGCAAATTAATTTATTTCTAATTCAGCCAATTCATCTGTGTGGCACATACAACAGAACACACTCATACCATCTTCTGCTGACATTTTACAGTTCCCTTTAGTTCACCCAGAAAGCTACCAAGCCATTTGGTGACAGATTTTTCTTCTTTATGAATACAGTACCATGTACTGAAAAGAACAACACACTATCATGCACTTCCACAACTCCCTACTATGACTTTCGACACTGTTTCTCACAAAACAAACAAACAAACCAACTACTGCAGCTTCACCAGAATTTCACCATTATTTGCGCATAATACAGAAGATATTTTCAAAGTGCAAAAGAAAGCAAAGCTCTCCTTTAGCTCTAAAGATCATCTGAAGTATTTAACGTCTGTACAATTAATAAATGCACAGTTAAAAGAGCAGTGAGGTTAGGATGGCATTTTACAGGTTTATAATTAGAAAGATTAGCACATAGAAAGAAGTAATTAAAAATGAACTACTTACCCATGTCTTAGGCTCACAGTAGAAAACCCCAAAAGGAGACATCTCCAGAAAGAAATCATTCACCTGTGGCAGTCAGCCCTTAAATGGGGGCTAGGAGAGGTAGAACCACCCCTTCTGGTCACACAAGAAATTGCCTTCACCTGCGCTCCCACTCAGTCCTCTGCTGACTCAGTCCTTGTCTGGAGTGATGAATCAGTGGTTCAGGCCATGACTGAACAGTTCTAATACAAATGTCTTTTCATTAGAAGACTTGGCAACAGTTTTTCAGCAGGTGGAAGCCAAACCCAAACACAATATTTGCTTAGATACTTTAAAAGAAAAATCTTACTCTGCTAGTGACAGTGTAACTGTTGAATAATGCCTGGGATGGAAAGAGCCAAAGCATTAAAAAAAAAAAAAAAACAACAACAACAACAAAAAAAAAAACCCCAAGGCTTAAAGATGTGTTTATGAAACTTAAATGGAAGAATTAACAGTTCCAAACATCTGGATTTCCTTTGAAAGCTGTCTATCATACTATAGGGATTCCCTACTGAGCTGTACAATTCTAGAGTTGCTATGGCCAGTACTCAGTTATTATATTTGCTGTCGTTCTAGTTCTGCTGGTGGGCCTTTCATTTCAGCCATGGAGAGGTTTCAGAAGTAAACTTTTTCTGGCTGTTCTCTACCACTATGCTGACACAGTGTCTAGGTTCTATGGGATTGACTTGAGCCTACAGATGCATGCACTCAGGCAAGCTTCCAAAAGACTTTACTAAAAATATGTCTCCCTACAATTTACTATATTATTACTGCAGAGTTAATACTAGCCCAGTTGAAATGAAACAAGCTCTACAGATAACTTGTAAAACGTGTCTACAAGGACTTTCACTGACCCTTCTTACCTTGTAGAACACAGCATCTTGGAAGGAAAAAAATAATAAATGTATGGTGAAAAGTACTAACCAGTAAGCAAATAGACTGAAAATTTGAATGTCATGGTGTAACTAGGTTCACAGAAGATGCAAACTTCTCAATTAATTCAGCAAAAGAATCTATGAACTTCAAATTTGGAATGTTTCAAGGATGTGGTGAAGCTTACTGGCCAAATGAAATATTCTCAAGACAAGATCCATGAAATATGAAGTTTTAATACAAGAGCTGCATCATTTTTTTTTTATTTATTTATTTATTTATTTATTTTTTATGTTGGCTCACAGATTCAGAGGTAGATGTTGGTAGTATCGTAGAAGAGGTTGAACTTTCCCACCAATATTCCATTAGAGTTTGTTGCTATGTGAAAGATGGCAGTAGAGGGGCAGTCTGACAAAATGGTGTCTGCCATAGAAAGGCATTCAAAGAAAAGCTGTGTCATTAAATTTCTCCATACGGAAAAACATGGCAGCCATTGATGGTTCTGGATGCTTGGTGAATGTTAATAGAGACCAAACAGTGGATGTGAGGACAGTTAGGTAGTTAGTGGTGCATTGCAACAATGTCATTGCCATCACAGCTGTGAAATAATGGGTCAACCTCCACTGGTGCAGATTTTTACTAGTGTGGCATTCAAGCTCTTGTTCATTGGTGGTGAAAATGCATAGCTAATGATGGTGATTATGTTGGAAAATAGTGTTTTGTAGCTGAGAATTTACCATATCAAATAGTGCTATTGTGCTCTGTGTATTTGTTGTAGTTTCCAAGGAAATAAATAGGAGTCCTTACTTTTGGAGCAAGATATGTATTTATATTTCTTCTTCCACTCCTCAAGAAATTTTAGGATTACAACGGTAAAATTTCTACTTGTTATTCCTTCAGACATCATTAAATAATAAAACAAAAATCAATAGTTCCACAAGCTAGCCCAAAATAATTTCAGAGAAAAATAATCAAATGCAATGGAAATATCTATTTATTAAGTTTCTTATTCATAAATGAAATCAAAACATTTTATGAAATTCCAGTTTAGTTTGTGTCTTATGTTTTCAATTTAAGAAGAAAATTGTTACTAACTGTTTTTGCACTTAAATGGAAATTAGCTTTGCCCATGTGAATGACTGCAGCAGTAAACCTAAGTAACAAGAAATGCATTGATTTTCTTCTTAAATCTGGCTTTGAAAGAAGAAAATAAAGATTTGTCATCCCTTAAGGAAGCAAATGGCCTGATTTTGTCATCAGTTGATATTTCAATCTTAACTCAGTAAATCTTAATCTTCAAAGTCAGTATTGGCTTATTAAAGAGATTCTGTAATTCTGGATGATGATGTTTCCTCTTTTCCTGTATTCGTTCCCATGAAATACGCATTGCCCTTGACACAATGGTTTTCTGTGCTTAACCTAAGCATCAATTCAATGCTATTAAATGCATGTCTAATACTAAATAAAGCATGCAGATTAATCACTTCTTATTACATGTACTGCAGTTTATTGAATCACGCCTTAGGTTTGTTTCTCTATTGAAAGAGTAGTAATTTACTGCACATGATTTGTAGTTCCTAGGCAGTGGAATATATATACATAATGCATTAAATTTAATGAATGAGTAAAGTGTTAACAATTTCTGAAATAAAAATAGTTGTGTGATCTTCAGATTTATTACTGATGACAATTATTTTCACAAGTATTTACAAGGCTTCGTAGCAAAAATGAATCATCATCAGATCCTGCATCAGTGTTTTACATTCACTACAAAATGTTGTAGACTGAATATCACTGTTAATTTGATGCTGTTTTGACTTTACTGATTAAATAATTAGAACTGAACTCTGCTGGCTTACCAGGTTCTCCTATTTGCTGATGTATCCTCTAGCTTTTGGTAGCAATTCAGACACAGTGCTTTAACTCTTATTCACACTCATGATAAGAATAAATTGTACCATGGATTGGGATTATTCATATGCTATAAGAACTGAATCTACAACATTTTCTCAAGCATTACTAATGGACAATGCAGATTAAGAATCAGAATATCTTGAAGAAATTCAGACAAAATATGGAATTTCTGGGATTCTTTACAATAACAGTTCTGTAAAATAAAAGAGTAATATCCTGTCTATTGATAAAGAGTAGATTATCATCAATAGAGGAAAAAAAAGTCAGACTTCCCAGCCTGTTTAAAAGCAACAGTATTTCTAACTATCCAGTCAAAGCTAAGAGGTATTTAATCTATAAGTTAATTGAATACATATTTTAGGATTTATTTCCTTCACTTATACTGCCACAATTGAATTAGTTGTCCTTAAGAAATAATTTGAGTAGTATTATCCAGAATTTTGAGCGTTAATTAGTTTATGTGATAGTAATAAAAAATTCTAGTACCAACTTACAATCTAGAGTTTTATTAATTCTTTCCAAAGATCCATAGCTCTGCAAATAAATTACCCCCTTCCATTTCTCAGGCTTGTTTTTACCAGAGATATGGTGAACAGGCACACTTTGAAGACTGTATACTAACACAGCACTCCTGGCACACTGGGTGAAGAAAAGATAAAGAAGGAGAGAAGAAATAGAACCTTTCCCTTCCTTTGAGATTCAGAAGAACTTTTATGCCTGATTGGATTTGGTATTAATATCAGTCACCTGGCCTCCTCAAGTGAATGTTACAGCGACAGAACCTGCTGGGAGGAAAAGATAGGAACCACACAAGAGAGCTTCCTTCAACAGTATAGTTACAGGGATTCAGAGGGAAAGAGTTGCTCAGCTGTATAGGAAAGAAGGACACAACTTTAGCAGAGTTCTTCTTGCCAAGATCCAAAGAGACAGACACAAAAAAAGCCTATCGTTTCTCTTCTTGATTGCACATCTCAGGGCTCAGGCAATATGGTTCACTGAGAAAAGTGGAAGTCTGTCTTCCCAGATCCCTGCCTCATCAAATTCCCATTTCTCTACCTCAGCTTTACTAGTTGTCAGAAAACACTTTAGAATTGCTTTATCCTTTGGATAAAGCTTTTCAGCCATGTCTTTTTTTGTGTCCATTTTCTATATGTCAAGGCAATACAAAATCTATTCTCTATTCAACGGTAACCTGAATGCCAGCTCCTATTTAACAACTCAATTTCCAATAACCATCTGAATGTGGGTTGTGGATTTTTGAAAATAAAGTATCATAAGAAGAACAGGAAGGGTCAAGTTTCCAACTTCCCATTTTGTTTTCCTTGTTTTAAACAGCAGGAGTGACTATATGCACTGAATGAACATAAATGTACAAAATAAATCCCTCTATAAAGCGTGCAATCTTGCATTTATGTCACAGAAACAGCTTTCTCTTCTGTGGCATAACTTAAAACCCTGAAGAGAGCTGATTGAAGCATTTGTCACATAGACAGACGCTGATACAATTAGCATTTCTGAGCATTGAAAGAGAAGGTTCAAGGGAAATCTCAACATGTTTAAGAAATAGATGAAAAGATAGACTCTTCTCAGAGGCAGCCACTGAAAAGACAAAGTAATACACACAGACTGGAATGCATAAAACTTCATCTAAGCGTTTTTCATTCAAAAATGAAACAAAACAAAACAAGAAACACCCTCCAAACATTTTTCTTTGACAGTGATAAAATATTAGCACAAGTTTTCTAGAGAAGTTGTGTAGCTTCTATCTTTGGATATATTCAAAACCCAGACAAGACACAGTTGTGGAAAAGCTACTCTAGCTGAGCCTACTTTGAGCAGGAACTGAGCTTAGACTAGATCATCTCCAACAGCCCCTGCCAACCTCAAAAATGAGTTTGTAACTAGCATTTCAAGTGGCTCTAGAAGACTTAATACTTAAATGAAAAGCAAACTGAAGAAATGCAGTTGCAGAAAAATATTATATTTTACCTGTCCATATTCAGTACAGTACTCCATTACTATTTCATAACAGCACATATTACTACTTTGTTCATTATCAAAACACAGTTGGGAGAAAATAAACAATTAGTTACAGTGATTTTTTTGTGTGAATTCTTATATTGTACATCTATCATCTTCTATGTAGAAGTACAGAAATACTGTGTTGCCATGAAAAAAAAAGCAATAATTTTGTTTTCTTTCGATAATTCAGGGAAGGTATTTGAAAAGG